AAAGCCGTTGTTCCCTATTGTGAATAACTCGTCTACCTCTGTCGTAGACTGTTTCACCAATTGTGGTTCGCCGACCTCCCGAATTGAGTATCAGTTGGAACGATCATTGAATATTCCTTGATGCATCTGCTACTTCCATTTCACTAGCTATCGTTGCCCACCAGTTCTCACGGTCCTTCTTGAGTTGGCGTTGCAGACTGATGTGGGAGACGATCGCAACAGCCGCTGAACAGGGAGAAGACAAAGGCCCGATACCTAGGCCTTATTCAACATACAAAAGGACAACAGGGGCTGAAAAGGAATGGGGGAAAATTTAGAGAGGCGAATACAAAGTAATGTGAAACGACAAACAAAAGTGTAACATAACATTCACCCCAGCGGACAGTTTTCGTCAGAATTTCTGTATGTGAAAATGTTCTATGCTTCTCGATTTCTCAAATTATAGGGATGAGTGCGTTGTTGTGCTTTTACTAATGGATGTATCTCGGGTTCTGTATTGTACGGATCTGTTTTGAACGAGGGGTGGGGAAATGCTCGTGGTTGTTGTCCCATCGTAATTGTTACTCTCTGTATGAGGGGTTGAGGATTGCGGATTCATTGGGTTCTGGGTATGTACCCGTTGGTAACTCAGACCTCTGGGGGCCAGGTGGTGTATTGACACCGTATCTTCTCGCCCATTTGGGAAACGGATATGAACGTACTTGGGATTACATTCGAGTAACTCAACTTCGTCCACCAGGGGGTCGGTTTTTGTTAATCTTAAGGGTCGACGCATTAAGATAGGCCCCGGAATACTCAACCAGGTTGATATGGAGACTCCTGATGCAGCTTTGCGACTATAAGAAAACAATCGCTCGTGTGGGGTCGCGTTGGTGGCTTCACACAGAAATGATCGAATAGAATGGAGAGCTTCCGGAAAAACGGATTCCCACTGAGTACATGGCCGACCCTTGGATTGCGCTTCGAGAACGATCGTCTTCCAAAGGGTCCCGTTTAGTCTCTCAACTTGTCCGTTCGAGCGAGGGTTGTAGGCTGTCGTTCTGCTGGAGACAATGCCATTGTTGTGCAGGAAATTCTTAAGCTCCACGGACATGAAGGACGAACCCCTATCAGACTGTATGTAGGAAGGTAAACCAAAGATCGAGAATGAATTGGTGAGACACTGAATGACTGAAGAAGCTGATAGGTCCACGCAGGCGTAGGCAAACAGGAATCGAGAGTAGTCATCCACGATCGTCA